TTTTGATGAGAAGTCAACTATTCATCATATTATTGTTCCCCTATATGTGATGCATCATTTCTGTCTTGCTACTTTCAAGATTTTCTGTCTTTCAACAATCATAATGTGTCTAAGTGTAAAAGTCCCTACTTGGGGTTCACTGAGGTTCTAACATCAGTAAACTAATATTTTTCATCAAATTTAGGAAGTTTTCAGCCATTATTTTTTCAAATATTTTTTCTATCCCTCTCTTTTCTCTTTCTAGAATTCTTATTATACATATATTGATACACTTGATGTATCACAGGTCTCTGAAGCTCTGTTCATATTTCTTTAGTTTTTAAAATTTTTGTTGTTCAGACTGGATAATTTCTATTGCTCTACCTTCCAGCTCACTTATTCTTTCTTCTGGTATCTCAAATCTGCTGCCAAGTTCCTCTAGAAATTTTTTGTTACTGTATTTTTTTTTTTGGTTGTGTATTTTATTTGATCTACCCTCCCCAATCATTTTTTAAATTTATTGTAATTTTTAAAATTTTTTTAAAATGATATTTTATTGTGTTTTCGGTGAAAATTTACACAGCAAATTAGATTCCCATTTGACAATTTCTACAAAAACTGTTCAGTGACATTAGTTACATTTTTCGCAATGTGTCAACATTCTCTTTAATTGGGTTCTGGTCGTTCTGTTTCTAGTACTCTAGTTTCCCTGCTCTCTTATATTCTTATCTTTGCTTTAGAGTAATTGTTGATCTTTTGGTCTCGTACAGATAGTTTTTTAATGGGGCACCATACTCACAAATAATATCCTTTATTTTGTGTACCAATCTGTTATTTCACTAAAAGGTGACCTCAAGGGTTAGTTTTGGTTCAAGGTTTAAAGAGTATCTCGGGGCAATAGTCTCAGGGAGTCCTCTAGTTTCAACTGGTCCAGTAAGTCTGAAATTCTTAAGAATCTGAGTTCTGTTCCGTGTTTTACTCCCATTCTAACATGGTCTATCTATTGTGGCCCTGATCAGAATGGACAGTAGTGGTAGCTGGGCACCATCTAGTTCTGGTCTCAGGGTAGATGAGGCCATGGCTCATGTAGGATATTAGCTCTGTAGACTAGTTTCTTCTCTGAGACTTTGGTTTCCTTCTCTTTTGCGCCTGATGAGTAGAGACCAACAGATGTACCTTACATGGGTAATTGCAAGCTATTAAGACCCCAGACGCTACTCACACCACTAGGATACAGAACATGAACTTGGTGAACTATATTATGCCAATTGACTGAGTTGTCCCATGAGACTAATGCCCTAAGCCTTCAAACCCGGAAAACCATTCTCACAAGGTGTTTGGTTACATCTGAAAAGTATCTGTAACTGTGCCCTCTTTGAATATATATATGCATGCACACACATACCTGTACATACATGTACATATAGATACTTCTATCTGTGCACACATATGTACTCACCTGTGGCTACCAATACACATACATGCCTATACACCTACACATGTGACTCACTTTTTGGTTATTATTGGTGTTGCTGCCCAATTATATACGTCACATTCTTTGGCACAAACTTCCTTTTCTCTTGTGTACTTCTTAGTGGCATCATTTACTTTGGTCAAGCTGTGCTTACACCCACATTCTGTGCTACTTTTCCCATCACCAAAAATAACTAGTATCTACAATCTAAAGAGTGCCCTCCCCATCACTGGTAACCACCAATGAACACTGGTATCTGTATATATATCTGTTCCTGTCTTTTTATAAAAGTGGGATCATACAATATTTGTCCTTATGTGACTGACTTATTTCACTTAGCATTATGTCCTCCTGAACCATCCATGTTATATGTTTCGCAGACTCCTCATTGTTCTTTATGGTTACATAGTATTACATGGTAGTATGTGCCACATTTTACTTATCCATTTATCCACTGAAGGGCACTTAGGCTGTTTCTATTTTTTTGCTATTGTGATTAATGCTGCAATGAATGTAGGTGTGCAAATGTCTGTTCGTGTCACTATTAGTATATACCTAGGAGTCGGATTGTAAGGTAGTTCTACTTCTAGTTTTTTGAGGAAGCAAAAAACTACTATCTTCCATAGTAGTTGTACCATTTTACAGTCCCACTAGCAATGGATAAGGGTGCCAATCTCCCCACATCCACATCAACATTTGTTGTTATCTGGTTTGTTTGTTTGTTTTTGTATCAGAGCCATCTTTAGCCAGGGTGAGATGGTATCTCATTGTGGTTTTGATTTGCATCTCTCTAATGGCTTGATCTTGAGCACCTTTTCATGTATTTGTTGGCTACTTGGTTGTCCTCTTTGGTGAAGTGTCTGTTCACGTCCTTTGCGCATTTTTTGATTGGGTTGTTTGTCTTTTTGTTATTGAGTTGAAGTTTTCTATATATTTTAGAGATTAGGCCCTTATCAGATATGTTGTTTCCAAAGAGTTTTTCCTTGTCTGCAGGTTGTTTTTTTTCACTCTTTTGATGAGCATAAGTGTTTGATTTGTATGCAGTCCCAATTATCTAATGTGTCTTCTGCTATTCATGCATTTGTAGTTATGTTAGCCTATTTTTTTAAAGATTACGTCCCATAGTTTCCTCCCTATGTTTTCTTCCAGGAATTTTATAGTTTTAACATTTAGGTCTTTGATGCATTTTGAGTTAGTTTGTGTGCCTGGTGTGAGGCTAGTTTTTGTGTTTGGTGTGAGGCATGGGTCCTGTTTCATTTTCTGTAAGTGGATATCCAGTTTTGCCAGTACCATTTATTAAAAGAGACTGTTTCTTTCCAAAGTCAGCTGTCCATAAACAGATGGATTTAGTTCTGGGTTCTCAATTCCATTCCACTGGTTTATGTGTCTATCATTGAACCAATATGAGGCTGTTTTGATTACAGCGGCTGTATAGTATGCTTTGATATCTGGAAGTGTGAGACCTCCTACTCTGTTCTTCTTTTTCAGTAGTGCTTTGGCTATTTGGGGCTTCTGAGTTACCATACTTTTTAACTTCAGAATTTCCATTTGGTTCTTTTTTATAATTTCTATCTCTTCACTGAGATTCTGTATTCATTGATTCTTTCCTTTAATTCTTTAAACATGGTTCCCTTTAGATATCTGAACATACCTATAATAGCTGCTTTAAAATCTTTTTTCTGCCAAGTCCAGTATCTGAGAACAGACACTCACAGACTGTTTCTACTGACTGCTTTTTCCTGAGTGTGGACCACACTTTGTTTCTTTGAATGTCTCTAATTACTGGAAATTTTAGATACTATGTGATAGCAACTCTGTATTCTGACTTTTCCACAAAGAGGAGTTGTTCTTTTTGTTTAGTAATTTGGATTAAGTCTGTGAAATCTGTCTCCTATGCAATGTATAGTTACTGATGTCTTTATTCTATTTTTTTCTTGTTTTTATTTTTAATCCTGGCTTCCTAGGGGTCCTTCCTGTGTTTGCATAGCTTGATGGTCTGGTAAAGATTGGTCAAAGGTTGTACTCAAACACTTCAAGCCAGGAAAACTTCTACTTTCTGATTCTGTGTGTGGGCTGGAGAGCACATCCAAACTTCAGGCTGTTTTCATGTCTGTCCCGTTCTTCCCTTTCTGCTGGGCTCCCCCACATCTCCTTTGTGTGTCCACGCAGGCACCGCTGGTAGTGATGTATGGGTGGCTTGGGCCTGCTCCATCTCTGCTGCTCATGCATACAGGCTAAGGTCAATCTGGGATACAAGGAGAACTATCAAGCCCCCTGTGGTGCCTCATCTCCCAGAACTACCTATTAAAACCCAGGTTAGTCCACTGGTCCATTGTTCACCCCAAACAGGACTGTAAAGCTAATGGAACACTGGCCCTTCCTGTTTGTTGACAATGCTCCAAACAGAGTGAGCCTCCTCTGGTCTTCACAGCCTGCCCTGCTCTGGTTGAGCTATCACACTTTCAGAGCTGGGGAGGAGGGAATGGGAGCAACCCTAGGAAAGACCACCACAAACTCAAACCCAAAGTTTAGTAGTTTTCATGAATAAGTGCTTCTCAGTTTGTTGTGTGCCTTTGGTCGATTTTAAGAGAGCTGAAATGGATATTTTTGACAGTTTTGTCCAGCTTTGTAGCTGCCTTTTGGGGAGAGGATTTATCAACCTCCTCACTCCATCATGCTGGAAGTTAGTATCTCAACCATTCTTTACATTCTGCTGGGAATGGAATGATTAATGCTATTAAAAAATAGACTATTCAGGTGAAAAAATCACTGTGAAGTCTCATTTTCAAAGAAAAATGTTTTTTCTAGGAAAAACAAATCAACCAAAAAGCATATAGATGGCTAAAGACACCATTTCAGTAGATTAATTAATTAAGAAATCTCACTCCTTGCAAGCAGAACCCAGGGCCCCACAACTTGACTTATTCACAGACATTACAGAAATTAAATAATCCAATAGAAAGAGTTAGTTCCAAAGTATTTCAGTTACAACTGTGAATTCCACAGCTGCTTCCCCACTCTCCCTGTTTCTTCTTTGTTTTCTCACCTCTCTATCTTATGCTTCAACCATGGACACTCAGATACATAATGGGCAATTTTATAGTTATTCCATTGTGAAGGCTTCATCAAAGTCTCCCAACCTGGCCATTTTTCTCCTTTCCTTTCTCTATCACCTCTGATAGACAGAGTCCTCTAGGGCAAGCCACTTGAGCTCTGGACACCCTCAGAGCCCACAGGAAAGGAAAATAAGAACTTCCACTTGCATCTAAAAGCTTGAGGGGCCCTAGAGATTTTCAGAAATTAAGGCTCAGGAAGGCTAAGGGGTTTACCAAAGGTCATCTTCCAGGAGTGCTATAAAGATTGAATAGGTAATGCTGATAAAATAGGCGGAAGGCCTCAGGAATTGTTGCCTGAATTGGTGATGGATTAGGCTCAGGCCCAGTGGCTAGAAACGATTTCATAAGACGGAATCTTCCATTGAATAGGCTCTAAGAATACTGGACGCAGGGGCTCGCAGAGAGATTTCCCCACCCCTCCCCTCTCTTACCTTAGCAAAAAAAATCCAGGCTGCACACTGCCCTGGGGCCATAGTGCTTTTTAGCTTCACTGTGCTGAGCATGAGAAAGAATCCTAAAAATCCACTGGAAGGAGAAAATATTCTTTAGTTAGTGAGGCTTGTCTTCCTTTAGCCAACAGCTAACTATTTTCTGCTATATTTACCAATCAATTTTTAATTATTACATAATTTGTATCTCATCTGTTTTCTAGTTATCTCTCGATAAAAACAAAAGCAAAATTAAAATAAGCTCTACTTTTCCAAGGAGCTATGGTGACAGCAAGGAGCCCTGGTAACACAACAGTTAAGCACTTGGCTGCTAACTGAAAGGGTGGCAGTATGAACCCACCTAGCCACTCTGCAGGGAAAGACCTAGCAATCTGCTCCTGTAAAGATTACAGCTAAGAAACCCCCGTGGGGCTGTTCTAGTCTGCCACATGGGGTCGCTATAAGGTGAAATCGATAGAACCTAATAAAATAACATGGTGACAGCATTTCATTGGAGGTGGGGAGAGGATATAGGAAGTTAGGAGGTCTCTGGTTAAATCATGAAAGAAAAAAATGTGGAAAACAATACCTCATGCTCCCTCCCAGATTACCTGGAGAGCTTGGTGCTTGCCACAGTACAGCTTCAATCTTTTCCAAGCTCTACCAGGAAGCTCAAATTGCCAGGAAAAGACCTCCAAAGGGAAACTCATTCTATGAGAAGAGGGGCCTGGGCTGGCTCTTGAGCTCAAGGTAATGTTCTGAAGGGGAGGGTGGGTTACAGGAACATGCGGGACAACTCCCCACACCGGGCAGATCTAAGATGCTTTGCTTTAGGGATGATGCCTCAGCACGAGAGTGTGTGTGTGTGTATGTGTGTGCGTGTGTGTGTGTGCGTGTGTGTGTGTGTGTGTGTGTGTGTGAAGTAAAAGAGCCCAAACCATGGGAGCCTGAGGCTAGGGTAGCATCCTGGGCTATTCAGAGGTCTGGACCAGCAAGGGCACCAGCACAGCAATGGACAAGGAAGCAATGGCGTGCGCTGGAACCATTTTCAGAAGTTTCACTGTGTGGTCAAGGCCAAAGCAAAGGGAGCTCCAAACAGAATGGTCACTCTTACTGACATTTAGAGGCAGGAAACTGTGGCAGAGGGTGTGGCAGAGTGGCCTCAACAGGAAGAGGTTGACTTCCTACAAATATGTGCAAGTGGAGCTTGGGTGTGAATTTTATCTGAAATTGAAAAGTGAAAAGCAAGAGACAAGACTGTAGTTGTACCCCAAGCCAGAGGGGCAGGGTATATGAGTTACATTTCATTTGTGCCTGCAGAGTCTCTGGTACCTCACCATTATCTGACCTTTATTATAGTCACTGGAGCCCTGGTGGTCAGTGGTTAAGGGCTCAGCTGCTAACCAAAAGGTCAGCGGTTCAAACCCAAGAGTTGCTCCGTGGGAGAAAGATGTGGCAGTCTGCTTTCATAAAGATTTACAGCCTTGGAAACCCTATGGGGCAATTCTGCTCTGTCCTATAGGGACACTATGAGTCGGAATCAACTCAACAGCAACGAGTTTGGCTTTTTGTTTGTTTGTTATAATCACTGGTGCCTAAGCTCAGAGGCAGGATCCCAACTTGGCTTCTCTGTGATTCCCCACAGAGCCTATCTAACACAGTGCCTTTATCAAAGCAGGTATTAAAGAAATGCTTGTCAGGTTGAAGAAAGCAGGTTGAATGAGATTAACACACCTAAGGTCGAATTTCACGGAAATCTGTACCTTTACCTCATCAGATTAGATGAGTGTACAGCCACATTCTTGGGGCAGGACCAGAGACGGGCATTAGGTTCCCACTGTGCAAACTTCAGCATGCTGGGCCCTGGTGGCCTGCACAGTTTGTTCACATTTGCATCTGCAGTTATAGGCGACTGGACAGCCACGGATTAAGACATCAAGTCATTCACGTCCAAAAGAGAGACTCCTTTGTGGGTAAGCGGCAAGCTGGAAATCAAGTGACCTGGACTTAGGTGTGCTCACTGACCCTCATAACCTTAACCAAATCCCCCTTTTTCTTGCCTCAGGTTCTATGTTCTTAAAATAGGCGTAAACATAGCAATCCTCATCCTACCTTACGCAAATCAGAGCCTTTCAGAACAGAAAGATGACTTAGCCCCCAAATCTCACTTTATTAACAAGGAAAAGGAGGCACAGACACAATTAGAATCCAGGTTTCCTGGCTCTTCAAACAGCTCTATTTCCACCTCACCATGGGAATAGTGACCAGGTGGACACAGGTGAGACAGTCCCTGTGCCCTTGGCCATGAGATGTGGAGCAGAGAAATAAAGAGGGGAGCTATGGAGACCGACCAGATGGGGAAGGGAGAGACGGGAAGGGAAAAGCCACAGCAGCTGGTGCTCCAGGGCTCCCCTGGTGGTTCTCAAGTCACCCTGCACCCCAATACCTGCCGAACCTCCACACCCCTTCCCCTCGGTCTTCTCTCCTCTCCTCCCCACCTCCAGCTAGAGGAAGAGCTTGATTCCACTTGCATTTTTCCCCTGGGCTCAAGCTCTGTGCTAGGACTAAGCTATTCCCAGTTTGTGAATGACATGCTTATGAGAGAGTCTATAAGTCTTCCTGTCACTTGACTTGAATGTGTGTGAATCATTTCTAAATCTTGCATGCACGGATACTTATCTTTCTCCTTCCACCTCCAGCTCTTCTGCCCCTGGCTATGTAGGCAGGTTGTAAATGTAGAGGGAGAAACCCAGAAGTGAAAGAGCCTTGCGCTCCCTGTTAATGGATCTGCAGGTCACAGCCAGCATTGTCCCCTCAGGTCCCCGTGGCCCCTTCTTAGTTCACCCAGGACCTCCTGAGGGTGACAATTCTCATTCTGAGATATGGTCATGGAGGAGGCATGAAATGACTTGGGGAAAACCTACGTCTTCTTAAACAGGTTAAAGTTGTGTGCTGAAGTCAGGGACTATAATGTAACAGAATTAACTTACTCCAAATAAAGGCTTCCAAATTTTAAAGTGGAAAAGCTGATTTTGCACGTTGAGCTATAAGAAAGTTGCAGATTAAAAGGGGCAGAAATACAGCCAGATGCCCCCACCCCACAAAGCCAACAGCAGTGGGCTGTGAACTGGGTTGCACTGTTGTAAATAACAGCACGCTGTTGACCTCCCCTCCCACCCTGTCTGCCCTGCAGCCAGTGACCAGACTCCCAGTGTGGGGTTACTAGTTACTTTACCTCAAACAGTTTAGCCTTTGTCCCTGGCCTCTGTGAAATAACCCTTAGAGTAGTTGGACTACATTGGCTACACCTGAGGGTTTGTATTAATAAGTGGAAGCCAGTCTGGGAACCTACCTGGTAACCAATAATGAGTGTGTGGGCTGGCTGATAAAAGCCCAAAACACTGAGGCTCAGAGAAGCTTCCTGAGGGAGACAATCCTGAAAGAAGAGCTTCCTGGGGAGAGACATGCCCTCCACTCCGGTTACCTTTCCAAACGTCGCCCAAGTACCTCTTCATGTTGCTACTGAGCTAGTTGTGAATTGTATCCTGTTATTCCTGCTTGTTCAAATCCTGAGTTATTCATGAGTTGTATCTTTTACCCTAATAAGCCACATAACCATAAGTATGGTCTGAGTTCTGTGTGATGTTGTAGTGAATTACCAACCTTAGCAGAGAAATAGAATGCCATGAAGAAGGAATCGGCTGGTGTCATAGACAATGGAGAAGTTGAAAAGCTATACTTGACTTCTGCCTCCTAGGAATCAGCTTTGTGTTGATTCTTATTCGTGAAATTATTAGTTCACCCAGATACCCAAGTCCACACAGACCACACAGGACTGAGACTATGCCGTACAATCCCAGCTCACAGTCAGAACGCACCTCACCAAATTGACAGGAACTGGGAGGATGAATTCTGTCAATGTTCTCCTGAGACTTTTCTGAGAGTGATAAATAAATCATTCTGAGGCTCAAATGCAAAAACAAACTCTAAAAAATTGTTTGTTTTTTGCCCCAACACACCTGAGGGATGTGACCCACTCCCATCAAAATCAGTATCTGACCACATATCAGCAATTTAGCTATCTGGATAGAATCCCTGTTTTACAAGGTGCCGTTTTATATGTGTGGGGGTAGCTGGTTTGATTTTTATGTAACAATTGCTCATGATGTGTTAACATTTTACTTACAGTTGACCTGAGCAGATAATAGTCCTCATTTATTTGGCCAGGCACAATACTTAGGGGCTTGCATATCTTATTTAACGCGCACAATAACCCTGCCTTGGTATTGTTTTTCCATTTTACAGATGAGAAAATTAAGGCTTGGGAGAACCTGGATAACCTGTCCAAGGGCCACACCATCAGCAAGCAGCAGAGCTGGGATTCAACCCAGGTCTGGTCTCTCCATCATGTCAGAGCACATGCTTTGACACGATCCCCAGAAGCCTTTCCACTCCTCAGCATAATAAAGTCAAATTAAGTGAGGATCACTGAAGGAAAGGGGGTAGAGGGTGGATATGAACTTCCGGGTATCTAAACATATCCTTCTAATGGGCCTACATCACTGTGTACTTCCCAAGGCCAAATATGAACCATCATCGTGTGGTCATCCCCTCATCACTGGTTTCCAGTCTGTTTCTTAGAGTCTTAGGGCTCAGTGGAGGTTTTTTAGAGGTTGCCTTCAGGGGCAAGAGGGAGGCCAAGATGGAAGCAGAGAGGGTAGAATTCTGGATCCAAATATTGAAGCTCTGTGGAAGATTTACTTATGGAGACAAAAAATGGTAGGCTGCTAGCTCTTCAGTAAAGTTTGAAACCACTACCCTGGCCGAGGAGCCTCTGCAGGACAGAGGTCCTCACAGGATCCAGCACTGCACTGACACCTGAGGGTGCTCAGCAACAACATGTTGATCGACGCTGACGAGCGGGCTGCTTATTCCCCACACTCACCACCACTCACTTCCACAGTGACATGACCGTACTGAGACTAAAACACAACTGAGAGGACAGAAAACATAGAAATTAACAGAGCAATGGGCTCTATACCTAAAGATTACCTGGCACAGCAGCTGCCATGAAATCTGTAGAAATACAGGAACGGAAACTCCAGGACGCTGAAGAGATCACCTGAAGGGAAGAGCAAGGGTCAGACAATGGCCACACGGCCTCACATAGCACCCACACAGCCCCACACATCCCTCTGTCCCCTGTGGCTCCCAGAAATGGAAGGAGAGTCCTCTGAGTGTTGAGATCCTAATATTTAGTTCACCCTGGCATGCCCAGGGTTTCTCCTGGTAATGACACTGTCGTATAATAATGATAAAACCCATTGCCGTCAAGTCAATTTCAACTCATAGCAATCCTTTAGGACAGAGAAGAACTGCCCCATAAGGTTTCCAAGGAGCTGCTGGTGGATTCAAACTGCTGACCTTTAGGTCAGCAGCCGTAGCTCTTAACCACTACGCCACCAGGGCTCCGTAATAATGATGGTAAGATCATAATAATAACCATTTAGTGAAAGCCTACGATTACCTGAGTGGTGCAAACAGTTAAGTGCTCAGTTGCTAACCAAAAGACTGACAGTTTGAGTCCACTCAGAGGCATCTTGGAAGAAAGGCCTGGCGATCTACGTCTGAAAGGATACAGCCATCCAAAACCCTATGGAGCAGTTCTACTCTGACACACATGGGGTCACCATGAACTGGAATCAACTTGAAGGCACTGGTTTGGTTTTAGTGAGAGCCTGCCCTGTGTCAAAAGCTTTACAAACATCACCTCCTTCAATCCTCATAACAACTCCGTAAGGTTTTACAATCTCCATTTTTACTGTTGCTCAGAGAAGTCAAGAGATCTAATTATCGCACCCTTATCCATCGCTAGTGGAGCCCTGATGGTGCAGTGGTTAAAAGATTGGCTGTTAGCCAAAAGGTCAGCAGTTCAAATCCACCAGCTGCTCCTTGGAAACCCTATGGGGCAGTTCCACTCTGTCCTATAGGGTCACTATGAGTTGGAATTGATTCAACGGCAACGGGTTTGGTTTGGTTTTGGTTTTTACCCATTGCTGGTGGGAATGCAAAACGGTACAGCCATTGCGGAAAACAGTGTGGTGGTTCCTCAAAAAACTAAAAATAGAACTATCATATGACCCAGCAATTCCACTCCTAGGTTTATACCCAAAAGACTTGAAAGCAGAGACTCAGAGTCTTGTACACCAAGGTTTACAGCAGCACCGTTCACAATAGCTAAAAGGTGGAAACAACCTAAATGTTCATCAATAGATGAACAAAATACATACAATGGGTTACTGCTAAGCCAGTAGGAGAAATGAAGTTTGATACATGCTATAATATAGATGGAGCTGAAAGACGGTATGCTGAGTGAAATAAGTCAATCACAAAAGGACAAATATTACATGACCTCACTTACATAAAAAGACAAATGCATAGAGAACAAAGTTTATTAGTGGTTACCAGGGGTAGGAGGAAGGAGAAAAGGGATGGGTTAGTAGTGATGGAAATATCACACTGATTAAGGGTAGGGTTGCACAGCTGATTATTGTAATTGCTGCCAATAAGTTGGATACCTGTAAAAAGTCGAATTGGCAAAAGTTGTGTGATAGATATATTTACAATAATGCCAAAAAAAAAAAAGTAGTTGCTGAGGTTGACTATGTACAACCAAAAACCTCATGGGATTTAGTTCCTTGGTTTGGAGGTTCAGGGTCACGGTTTCATGGGATATCCCAGTTAATTGGCCTAATAACATGTTTAGTGCTTCTGTTCTAACTTCTAGTTCAATGTGTGGTGCTTGGGGTCTTAAAAGCTTGCAAGCAGCCATCCAAAGCACAACAATTGGTCTCTATTTGCCTGGAGCAACAGAGGGAAGAGAGTCAAGAATAGGAGGAGGATATGAAATTGACTCCATGAACAACTGCCTCCTTTGCCATGAGACCAGAAGAACTGGATGGTGCCTGGCTGCCATTACTGCATTTTGACCAAAGATTTCGTAGAAGAATCCTGATCAAAAGGGAGAACATGCAGAACAGAATTTCAAATTCTCATGGACTCCAGACTTCCTGGAGCCATGAAGTTTGGATGAACCCCTAAAACTACTGCCCTGAGATAATCTTTAAACCTTAAACCAAAAATATCCCCTAAAGTCTTCTTAAAACCAAACAACAGTTTAGCTTAACTAGTGAAAAAAGGTCTGCCTTAAGCATTAGCTCTTGTAAGAACTACCTATATGAGATCAAATTGACAATAGCAACTCAAAATATTAAATAGGAACATTAGGGGGCAGTGACTTTATGTTAATGGGGGAGGAACAAGTCAGAAAAGGAGGGTGAGAATGGTTACACAACTCGAAGAATGTAATCAGTGTCACCAAAAGGTACATGTAGAAACTGTTGAATTGGTGTATGTTTTGCTGTGTATATTCTCAACAACAACATAACTAAAATTATATTTTAAAAAAGAGATCTAAGATTGCAAGACTCTTGAGCTATGCAGCCAGGGTGCGATCCTCAGCCAAGCCAGATCCTGGGATACTTCCTCTCCACCCGGCAGCCTTCCCTGCAGAAGGGAGCATGCAGGAAAAAGATTCTTTTTAAAGATTCTTTTTCTTCTTTTTCTGCCTTGTGTCTAAAAAAAGACTGTGAATACATTCCTCTGACATCTTTTTTCATTTTTGTGTTTAATTACTGCACAAAAGACACAGGGACCAGACCCACCATGCATGCTCATTTTATTTTAAGGTCCAAAGGGTACATTTATTTCTAGTGAAGTAAGTTCATTCTTTTAGTTCCACTTGGTGCAAGAGGAAATAATCACACATACTGGCTGCTTCCCCCTCTGGAATTTGAACTTGGTCACAAACAAAAAAATCACGGGATTAAAAAAGCAGAAAGCCTTCCAAAAACGTCCAGGGAAAAGGAATTACGGTAAGTACTGCCACGGCAGATAGCCTAAGCTTTAAAATCCTTCCAAATCTGGAATTTCTGAGACTCTGGGGGAACCTGGGCTTCCAGACCCCAGTCCTTGGTCTGTCTATCAGATCTGGATGGTCTGGTGGGAGAAGGACTGACTCTCCTAAGTACTGACAGGATATTAGGTATGCAGTGGGACACGAAGGCAGTATTTCCTTCATCACTACACTTATTAATCAAGAGCTTCGAAACAAAGACACAATGGGTTTCTATGTTTCCTCAGAGCCTTAAATGATTTCAAATGATTCAATCATCTATTGGGACAGAAAGTTCTGAATGCCGTTTCTCTGGAGGGTCGGTATTTTTTATTGTTATTTTTTTCTGTTTTGTTTGTACATATACGTATGTATTTAACTAAAAGGAGGGGGTTTTCTTTGGGATCTGGCTTTTGAGCAGCCAAAACAAGAGCTTAAGACTTCTTATTCTCTCTCAGTCATGATTCCACTGAATAGATCTCCTGCCTAACTGAGACCTAGGTTGGTGGAGGGACTTCATAAACTAAAACACCAGGTTCGGACATCTAGTGCATGAAGACTATGATTTACTCTGAAGTCCCTTTCCCTACAGAAGCAACAGCCAAGGTAATCGTTGGTACCCCAGTCCCACAGCATGGCCAGAGCCCCATGTTCAGGCAGGTGGAGGAGGACGTCTTGGAGAATTTGCTGTCTCTGTGGCAGCTGTGACTCTGGTTCTTGGCCCTTTCCCAATTTCCCTCTCTGTAAGAGAAACTGCAGTACACTCAGTGTGATAAGGAGCACAAGACAGAGAGGGAGATAAATCCAGAACCACCATCCCCTCCACTCGACCTCCTCTCAACACCTAGTCTTTCATCAGAAATGCTCCTGAGTGGTGAAATGAACTCATGGCATGTCAGCTCCTCTTATACACAGCCAGGCTTTGGAGGAGTCTAAAGAGCAGGAAAGTGGTCAGAGGTAGACTGGGAGTCTAAAGAGAACGGAAGCGGTCAGAGGTAGACCATAAGAAAAAATTCTAGTCCTGGGTAATTTTTCAGTTAGATTAAATAATCCCACCCAAATCCTGAAAACGGATCCCATAAATTATTGAGAGAGAGAAAGAGGAAGAGAAGGGGAGGACAGAGAGAGAGAGAGAGAAGAATAGCTCACTATTTTTGGGCCCTTCCTAAATCCTCAACACATTTCTCACAGGGCACTTAGTTGACTTCATATCTGTGTCTCCTCCTAGAACTACAAAGTCCTTGAGAGCAAAGACTATCTTACTCATCACTGTATCCACTGTGCCTAGCACCATACCTGACACAGGACAACACTGCTGAAGTGAGTATGCGAAAGACCGAAATACCTCTCGTTTTCCCTGGAGAGAATGTTCCAAACAGTTTCCAGTTAGCTGTGTTGGTCTGCAAATTCAAATTGACCTTCAACCTTCCTACTCTTTCACTAAGGTGGAGCTCTTAAACAGAGAGGGTGCATCAACCTCTACAGACAAATGCCTCTAGGCTATAAATACCCCTGAAGCTGTTACAGCGCGTGGCTGGCTGGCCCTAACCTTGTGAAACTAAACTCAGGAGCCTTAAAAGTTTGTAAAGATACTCAAAAGATAACACTCCTGGATGGCGGTGGCGAAGGAGGAAAGGAGGAAGCCCAGGAAGGTGGCAGAGGCTGCGAGGCTAGGCTTGTGGGGCTTGTTGGACTTGTGGGGCTGAAGCGTGTGGGGCTTGTTGGACTTGTGGGGCTGAAGCGGACGCCATGGACCATCTGTACTGCACACAAGACCCTGTGCCCGAGGCTGTGGGCGGCGACATGTAGCAGCTGAACCAGCTCAGCGCGCAGCAGTTCTCAGCCCTTACAGAAGTGATTTTCCACTTCCTAGCTGAGCCAAAAGAGGTGGAAAGGTTTCTGGCTCAGCTCTCTGAATTTGCCACCACTAATCAGATCAGTCTTGGCCCCCTCAGCAGCACCGTGAAAAGCCTCCTGCTGGTCCCAAATGGTGCCCTGAAGAAGAGTCTCACAGCCGAGCAGGTCCGGGCTGATTTCATAACTCTGGGTCTTAGTGAGTACAAAGCCACTTACTTTTCTGAAAAGTGGAAACAGAATTCCCAGACCCTTGCTCAGTGGGCCATAGGTCAGACTCTGATGATTAACCAGCTTATAGATATGGAGTGGAAATTTGGAGTGACATCTGGGAGCAGTGAGTTGGACGAAGTGGGAAGTATTTTTTTACAATTAAAGTTGGTGGTTAAAAAAGGAAACCAAACTGAAAATTTGTATATAGAATTAACTTTGCCTCAGTTCTACAGCTTCCTACACGAGATGGAGCGAGTCAGAGCCAGCATGGAGTGTTTCAGCTGATTTCTGTCCCCCTACATCTCTGCCTTGCCACCCTCCCCTCCCTGGGTGACTGCTCTGAGAGGTACCTCACTCACAGGCCTGTTGGGTGCTCATTTTGCCTTGCTTGCCTCTTGGGAGACCAGGTGTAAAGGTTTCTGAAAAACTACAGGATTAAGTACTTTAAGAGCCCTACACAATCACCCTGTAAACTCTTTGTTAAGGAATCACCACCCATCTCCCAGGACACTTTTTAGATACTCAAAACAGATTCAGGGAAGAAAATGAGTTGAGTCACCTCCCCATCAAAACTCTAGAGTCTACAGATGGTGCCATCACTCAAGATACACGCAGACCACCCTTCCCCCAAAAGAACAAGAACTCATTTATGGCTGAACAAGAAGCAGACTGTAGGAATGACACGTGTGGAGAGCCCCAAGGATTTCTGCACACTCTCTTTGTGGTGGTGGGGCAATGATAATCAGTTTTTAACTGAGCATTGTGTATAAATATGTGATTGGTCATCTCTGAAAAGAACTGAGGCTAAACTCTGTCCCCAGTTCTGGTTTTGCCCTGTTGTGTTATAATAAGGTGGGCCTTTTGAGGCTATTTGAGCTTGTTTTGGTTGAAGCTGACCTCTGTTGGTTAGGTGCTGAATAAAAAAGGTTCTGAAGGAAAAAAAAAAAAAAAAAAAAAGATAACACTCCTGCAATACTTTGTGAAGAACTGCACCGTTTAAGCACAAATAAGTGGTTAAAAGATGTGCCAACATGTTTTGTGGCATCAACGTGCAGCTTATAAATGAGGTCTGAGTTGAGCCTTCATTCTTGTTTTCCATAGTTACTATTCTGCTCTCTCTGAGTGAGGGAGTGAGTCCCATTTCTCTAAAGATTACAGAGTATAAAGTTGCCACAGTAAAAAGTGTGGCATAATCTTAGCACATTCAAGACTAACTAGTATTTAAACATCAAGAAAATTTCCTCTCACCTCATCTTACCCCTCATGACTGGCAGAAAATGGAAGGGTCAATTCCAAGGTATAATGAGTGCTGCTTGCTTTATCGACACACTAACAATAGACACACCAGATAACAAGGTCATTTCTGTATCAGATTCCTGTGGATCTCCCTGTTCTTCCAGTTCTTTGAAATTCTTTCTCTTGAACACAGGGGCGGATTATCCAATAGGCAAAGTAAGCATGGTGCTTACCAGAGCACCTGTAGTGAACCATGTGAAATTGTTCACTACAGATTGGTAAATAAGCACAAGTAAGCCCTTGCTTACCTTGCTTACGGGGTCATCTACCCCTGTCAAGGGTTGTAAATTTGAAAAGAGGCTTTGATTCTGTAGGAAGGTGCTGTGGGCCTGGGAGACAGACAGATGCCAGCCATACCTAGATGCAGAGTCTTCAATGTGGTGAAAAATGTGAAACTGTTCACTAAAGATGATCTGGTAAGCAAGGTAAACACCGTGCTTACCTTGCCTATTGGATAATCTGCCCCTGCTTGAACACCACAGCTGAATACAAATACTAATATACACACAAACATTAAATGCAAACTTTCAAACAAGGGAAGAATTTCTCTTCTCCACAATGGCTTAAAACAGTAGAGGGGATGGGCAGTACTCTTCCCAAGCAAGGTTCCAAGACGCCTGGAGTCTCTGCATGAATCGTGAAGTTGAAAAACTAGAGGGGGAGGAGGATTCCACCCACTAAAAAGCAAACTCAGTATTTGAAGAGGGGAAAGTGGCAGGGCTCTTGCCTAAGATACGGAAAATTGTCTACCTGATACCAAATCACCACTGCCCATCACACCCCAAAGGTTATGACCCAAAGCTACATTATCTGCATCTACAGGGAAGCCGATCTTTCTCCTTAATCATGGGTGAGTAAGAAGGGCAGCTTGGTCAAAAGCACTACAGAGACCATTACAAACCCACTGTTGTTGCTAGGTGCCATCAAGTCTGTTCCGACTCATAGCGACCCTATGTACAACAGAAAGAAACCCTATCCAGTCCTGCACCATCCTCATGATTCTTACTATGCTTGAGCCCATTGTTGCAGCCACTGTGTCAATCCATCTCTTTGAAGGTCTTCGTCTTTTTCGTTGACCCTCTACTTTACCAAGTATGAGGTCCTTCTCCAGGGACTGGTCCCTCCTGATAACGTGTCCAAAGTATGTGAGACAAAGTTTTGCCATCCTTGCTTCTAAGAAGCATTCTAGCTGTACTTCTTCCAAGACAGATTTGCTCATTCTCTTGGCAATTCATGGTATATTCAATATACTTCACCGACACCATAATTCAAAGGCATCAATTATTTTTTTGGTCTTCCTTATTCATTATCCAGCTTCTACATGCATATGAGGTGACTGAAAATACCATGGCTTGGGTCAGGTGCACCTTACTCCTCTAAGTGACATCTTTGCTTTTCAACACTTTAAACAGGTCTTTTGCAGCAGATTTGCCCAATGTAACATGTCGTTTTATTTCCTGACTGCTGTTCCCATGGATGTTGACTGTGGATCCAAGTAAAATGAAATCCTTGACAACTTCAATCTTTTCTCCATTTATCATGATGTTGCTCATTGGTCCAGCTGTGAGGATTTTTGTTTTATATTGAGGTGTAATCCATACTGAAGGTTGTAGTCTTTGATCTTCATTAGTAAGTGCTTCAAGTCCTCTTCATTTTCTGCAAGCAAGGTTGTGTCATCTGCGTATCACAGGTTGTTAACAAGTCTTCCTCCAATCCTGATGCCCATACTTTCTTCACACAGTCCAGCTTCTCAGATTATTTGCTTAGTATATGGACTGAATAGTATGGTGAAAGGATGCAACTCTGACACACCTTTCCTGACTTTAAACCATGGAGAACCCCCTTGCTCTGTTCAAATGACTGCCTCTTGGCCTATGTACAGATTCCTCATGGGGACAATTAAGTGTTCTGGAATTCCCATTCTTTGCAATGTTATCCATAATTTATTATGATCCACACAGTTGAATGTTTTTGCAGCATCAATAAAACACAGGTAAACATCTTTCTGGCTATTCTCTGCTTTTAGCCAAAAGCCATCTGACATGATCAATGATATCCCTCATTCTACATCCTCTTCTGAATCTGGCTTGAACTTCTGGAAGTTCCCTGTCAATATGCTGCTGCAACCACTTGTGAATGATCTTTTGCAAAATTTTACTTTGCGTTTAATATTAATGACACTGCTCGATAATTTCTGCATTCTGTTGGATCACCATTCTTTGGAATGGGCACAAATATGGATCTGTTCCAGTCAGTTTCCTAGGTAGCAGTCTTCCAAATTTCTTGACATAGATGAGTTAGCACCTCCAGTGCTGCATTCATTTGTTGAGACATCTCAACTGATAACCCATCAATGCCTGAAGCCTTGTTTTTTGCCAATGCCTTCAGTGCAGCTTGGACTTCTTCCTTCAGTACCTTCGGTTCTTGATCATGTGCTACCTCCCAAAATGGGTGAACGTCAACAAATTCTTTTTGGTACAGTGACTCTGTGTATTCTTTCCATCTTCTTTTGATGCTTCCTACATCGTTCAATATTTTCCCTACAGAATCCTTTAATATTGAAACTCAGAGCTTGAATTTTTCTTCAGTTCTTTCAGCCTGAGAAGTGCTGAGCTTGTTTTTCCCACTCACTACAATAGCTAAAGTAAGACTGACAACACCAAATGTTGGTGAGGATGTGGAGCAACTGGAACTCTCATACATTGCTGGGTGGGAGTGTAAAATGGCACAACCACTTTGGAAAACAGGCAGTTTCTTAAAAAGCTAAACACACATCTACACTAAGACCCAGCAATTCTACTTCTAAGCATTTATCCAAGAAACATGAAAACATAAGTCCACAAAAACTACTGTATAAGAGCATTCATAGTAGCTTTCTTTCTAACAGAACAAAACTGGAAACAGCCCAGGTGAGCATCAACTGGTGAATGGACAAACAAAACATTATTCAGCTACAAAGAAAAATGAAATTCTGATACAAGCTACGACATGGATGAACCTTGAAAACATTACGCTGAATGAAATAAGTCAGACACAAAAAGACAAATATTAACGTGGGCCCATATCGTTATTGCGAATCATCAAGATGTTTGCTAAAATGGGCACATCTGTGTAAGCACTACCCAGACAAGAAACAGAGTATGACAAGCTCTGTGAAAAATCAATGACCTCTCAGTCACAGCCAACATTCCTCTACCAGGTGACCCTTTCATGACTTCCAACACCATAGGGAGTTTTACCCATTTATGAAATTTATTTAAACATAATTTTTTTGTATGTCTGGCTATTTCACTCAGTGTTGCACTTCTGAGATTCATCCCTGTTGGGTTTAGCAGTAGTCTGTCCATTTTTCATTACTGTATAGCAATCCATTAAACAAATATACTACAATTTGTTTATCCATTAAAAAAACAAACAAAAACTAGGTCTGAAACTCTGCACAACTTTAGAGGGCAGAGTCCTGTTTATATAACACAACTGCTTGTGGCAGTCCTGAGAGTTTATAAAAGCTAAAGCTGATAAAAACCTGGACAGTCTCTTCTAGTTGGATTTCACAAGCAGCTTCACTACTCTACCCAAGATTTTTTGCTACTCAACAGTCCTCATCCAGTCAGACACTCAAGGACAAACCCTGTCTGCCAAGAGTTTAAGTCAACAGCCACTGATAGGAGGTGAAAGGAAAAAAAGACACACACATCTTAAGGCATCCTGACCATTTTTAAAAGTTCTAAGAAAGCAACAAACATGGTCATGCTGATCACACACAGAGCACCTTTACAAAAAAAGCACTTTTACTTTACTGAATGAAGGAGCCCTAATGGCTCAACAAGCTTGGCTGCTAACAGAAAGGTCAGCAGTTCAAACCCACCAAGCAGCTCTGAGGGAGAAAGACCTGGTGATCTGCTTCCATCAGGATTACAGTCAAGAAAATCCTATGGGGCAGTTCTACTCTGTCATTGGGTTGCTATGAGTTGGGATCTACTTGACAGTAACAACAACACATTACTTAATATACATAGAAGTAGGTGTGGTTTCAGTGTCTCCATGGGATGCTCACGAGTTAGATACTGAACTTGGTACTGGTAGAGATGGAAGAATCCAGCTTCTTCTAGAAGCCCGCCACCAGTTTGTACATAACCCCACACCCAAATTCCCCAAGGCCTCTGCAGGAGCCCTGCTAGGATGGCTACTTAGAACCTGCAGGATTCCTGAACCCTACTACTTGAGGCATCTCTTTGTTAGAGAGCATCAGCCACTTACAGAAAGGAAGGCCAAGGCTGCCTCTGCTACTGACACCAGGGTCACAGCTAGTCTCATCAAATACAGCAAAATCCTTCTCAGAAGCCCAGCTTTCTATAGTTGGCCTCTTCATAGATACTACCTCATCAGCTGGACACTGGAGTGTGCAAAAGTCACAGAGAGGAGGCCTTTAAAGGAAGTGCGCCCAGTCTCTCTGCTTGAATCCCACTGGCTCTACAGCTCCCTGAGCTGCCCCTCATACAACTATCCTCATGCACTCTCCATGCAATGGACTGAAGTCTGCCAGAGAAGAAAGAGAGGTAAGCATCTCATGTCCATTTGTTCAAACTTAAAATATAATTTGAAGGAAAATTAATCCTTATAAATATCCTTTTCTGCATAACTGAGCTTCAAGCAGGCTATCAAATCCGAGATCACTGGTAGCGTAGCGTTTAAGAGCTTGGCTGCTAACTAAAAGGTCGGTAGCTCGACTCCACCTTGGAAATCATATGGGGCAGTTCTACTCTGTTCTATAGGGTTGCTATGAGTTGGAATTGACTCGATGACAACAGGTTTTTTGGATTTTTTTATACATTATTTTTACTGAGATATAATTCACCTACTATGAAATTCATGCTTTTAAAGTGTACAATTGAGTGGTTTTTAGTATACCCAAGGAGTTGTACAACCATCACTACTATCTCATTTCTGAACATTTTCATCATCCCAAAAAGAAACTGCAGCCTATTTTTTAATTATTCTTCTGCCCAGACCATTCTACGACCTTAGGCTGCTGCTGACCACTCTGGGTTCCCAGAGTGAACTATGTGCTTAAGGCATTCTTACACTGACCTAAAAGTTTAGCAATAACTCCAGGTAAGAAGTAGGACTGTTGGTCAAAATGTATAAACTATGACCAGCAGCCCTGTGCTTGGCAACTGGTGGACAAAATGCCCTCCAAACCAACAGAAGGTCCAGGAAGAAATTTAGGAACATTGATCAGGAAACTTGGAATAAAGTGTAGTATCAATGAAAAAAAAGAAGTGTTAAAAAACAAAATAAAACTGGAAAGCGGGTCAGGAGACCTAAGCTCCCAACTCCCTCTGCTACCTACCTGCTCAGCATCATTTTGGTCACATCACTTAACTCTCTGGGCTTCCGTGTCCTCATTCGTAAAATTTAGTGGTAGCTTGGATAATCGCTAAAAATTGTAATAATAATTGCTAATAATCCTAAGTGTAACAAATGAGCAAGCATAACCTCTTAGTTGAAAAGCAAAGTGATTTCTTTAGGCAAAAATTATCCACCCAAATCCACTAGAAATCATTCAGGAAATAAAGGAGTATAAACCAAGGAGAGCCAGTAAGCATAACTTCCCAAAGGCCTTTGACAGAGCACATCCCAAAGGGGGAGGACATGTAGTAGACACTTCACCATCTGTAGGGTGGCAACCACCAGGCTGCATGAAGGAATGACCAGAGGCGTGATTTAGAGACGGATACCAGCAGCAGGGGTCAGCAGAAACAGTTTAGGCTTAAAAGCATGGTTTCATGTCATTTATTATTTTACAAAGGATAGGCTTTAAACAAATGAGAGTGGCAAGAGCACTCAGCAGTAAGCCTCATGGCTCTGAGATGACAAGACGCTGTGGGAGGGGGCAGGAAGCAACAGATGTGCTTCAGTGTGGATAAGTGTAGAGTAACGCATTACGAAAAAAATCATTGCAATTCTCCTGGTGAGACACGGTTCCGGTATGTCATATACAATCTAGAAACGTTACTCATGAGTCACTATTGACAGCTTTCTGAGGACACCAGTTCAAATAGGCTGAAGCATCTACAAACACCAACAGAAAGCTGTCATCGTTTTGAGCATGAAGTGAGAGCTAGAAGGGGTTAGAAATAATCCAGTCCACTTTCTCATTTTACAGGTAAGAAAACTAAGGACCAGAGGGCTTGGGCAATTCGAGCAGGAACCTACCTCACTGTACCTTGAGCATAGCACGTGATTAATAAACATTATTTTTTTTTAAAAAAAAAGATCTTACGACCCATTAGTGAGGGAGCCAAGAGAAGTACCAACCCTGAAATTTTGAGCCAATGCTCTCCCCACTGCACTCCAGTATGCCACAAGGAGCACCACCAATAAAACGTGTATTTTCAGCCAGATAACACACAGATATTATTGTTCTGTCTTTGGCATCAACTTCAAAGCCTTTCAAAGCAAAAAACTACAGTGAAAGAGACTATTATGGGCAATTCCTGAATCTGAAAAGCAACTACAGAGTAACTGAGACAGCAATAGAATGATAAGTTTTAAAAATTGACTTCTTTAATCTGGAATTATGAAAATTGGATGGTAAAACATGGTAACAATTTATAAAGTGTGTCAGTGAGAAATAGGGTGAAACTGAACTTTTTCACCAAATTCTTAGCACTAGAATTGAAGAGCTACTCTGGATAACTGAAGAAGGAATTTTACAAGTGGGCAAAGCAAACACTATTTTACCTGGTAGGTAATAAACCTGTCTGTACAACTGGGATGGCACCACGTGAAAACATAGAAAACAAAATTCAAGTAGGGATAAGAATAAATTTGGGGGCAACAAATCTGTAATGGGTTATTGTCATGGGTTAAATTATGTCCCCCCAAAAATGTGTGTATCTATTTGGCTGGACCACGATTCCCATTATTGTGTGGTTGTCCTCCATTTTGTGATTGTAATTTTACATTAAAGAGGATTAAGATGGGATTGTATAACACCCTTACTAAGGTCACATCCCTGACCCAATGTAAAGGGAGTTTCCCTAGGGTGTGGCCTGTACCACTTTTTATCTTACAAGAGATAAAAGGAAAGGGAAGCAAGCAGAGAAATGGGGACCTAAAACCCCAAGAAAGCCGTGCCTTTGGACCTGAGGTTCCTGTGCTGAGATGCTCCCAGACCAAGGGACTGGGACTTGAACCGTGACTGATGACAAGAACCTTTCTCCAGAGCTGGAGTCAATGCCCTGAATTTGGACTTGTAGCCTACTGGACTGTGAGAGAGTAAATTTCTCTTTGTTGAAGCCATCCACTTGTGGTATTTCTGTTACAGCAACACTAGATGACTAAGACAGTTATCAAGAACAGTTTCAAGTATGTGGGCCATTCCTAACCTCTGGGTTTGCTATCCTGGAAGACAACAATGCTCTCTTACAGAATGTACCTGAGAGATATAATCAAGTTCAACACTGGTTGAATGGGCATTGTAAAACAAAATAACATTGTAGTAAAGATTACCTGTGGGATGGGATGCAAATGCCAGCAGCACCACACTGAAAAAGACACACAAAGTGGTCAGGAAAGCTTCCCTGGCAATAAAACCACCCCATAAATTTCCACCCATTCTACTTGGAAATAGGTGTTAGCTGCTGTGAGTCAGCCCGACTCATGGCAACCTCATGCACAACGGGACAAAACACTGCCCAGTCCTACATCATCCTCATGATCGGCTGTAAATCAGACTGTTGTGATCTATAGGGTTTTCAGCGGCTGATTTTCAGAAGTAAACCAGGCCTTTCTTCCTAATCTGTCTTAGTCTGGAAGCTCTGCTGAAACCAGTTCAGCATCATAGTGACACACAAGCCTGCAGTGACAGATGGGTAGTGGCTGCACATGAGGTGCACTGGCCAGGAATCAAAATAGTTAAATTTGCCTGAAAGCAAATTATTTGCACTGAATGAATTATGTCACTTTGCCTAACTCTAACCCCACAGTGAAAGGGTGAGAATCACGGGAAATATCTCATGTTTTGGAAAGAGGATTGACTGAGAGTCTCACGTTCCACTCTGCAGGTCCACAGGTCATTTCTCTTGGCCCCAGTTTACCTTACTATTATCACATTCACATAATTCACAAAGAATATTTGTAAGCTAAACAAAGCAAGTTACCATCCAAAAGCTCACTGCTGAGAGTGAGAAAATATATTTTTGACACAAAATTAACCACACAGAAGGTATTAAATTCCTGAGAAGGTAGCTCACAAAATGATCGATCCCATCTACCATGTGGATGAAAACTATCGGGACTGGTTTTCAACAGATGCCAAAGGGGTAAAAGAAAGAAAAGGAGGCTAAAAATGTCCATCTGATGCTGGCCATATTTGTCCCTGGTGCCTCCCCTCTTCCTTTCTGGAAGCCTCTAGAAGCCTCTCCCATCTCCCAGGGCCCCTCTCACAGCACCTTCATGCTGTGCTAAGCCCACCGCAGTATTCAAATCTCCCACCTTCTGCATCCTCCACCATTACCATCTTGTCTTCCAACAAAACTCTCCTTCCTAATGTGTTTGGTGCATCTGTTCTACCTCCTAGTTTGTTGCGTAGTGTCAGGGGTCTTAAAAACTTGCAAACAGTCATCCAAGACACAAAAATTGGTCTCTATTCACAGAAGAAGAAGGAGAGTCAGGAATAGGAAGAGGTTATGGAATGTGTGGCTAATTGCCTCCATGAACAACTGCCTCTTTTGTCATGAGACCAGAACTGGATGGTGCCTGGCTACTATTACTGAACATTTTGATCAAGGATTCTACAAAAGCATCTTGATCAAAAGGGGGAACATGCAGAACAGAAGTTCAAATTATCATGGACTCTAGACTTTCTGGAGCCATGGAGGGTGGATGAACCCCTGAAACTATTGCCCAATATAATCTTTAAACCTTAAACCCAAAACATCACCTGAAGTCATCTTAAAACTGAGCAACAGTTTAGCTTAACTAGTAAAAAAGGTCTGCCCTAAGCATTATGTTCTTTTAAGAACTATCTATGTGGGATCAAATTGACAACAGCAACTCAAAAGACTAGATAGGAAACTTAGGGGGCAGTGAGTTTATGTTAATGGAGGAGGAACAACTCAGTAAAGGACCATGAGAATGGCTGCACAGCTGGAAGAATATAATCAATGTCACTAAACTGTACATGCAGAAACTGTTGAATTGGTTTATGTTTTGCTGTGTATATTCTCAACAACAACAAAATAAATAAAATTTTTAAAAAATGCAAAAAAACCCCAAAAAACTCTCCTTATATCTAGACAGCTGATCCAGTTAGGGGTTAGGAATAACACTTTTTTTATGCCAGTACGGAGAGAACTAATCCTTCTGGGGGCATACTTAAAAAAAAAAGTGCTGGATGGTCTACTCTGTGGTTCTTAATGTTGGCTGCACATTAGAATTGCCCATCATCCAGGCTTAAATCAGAATCATGAGGGCGTGGTCCTGGCATCAGTTATTTGTTTTTTAAGGCCCCGAGTAGTTCAAACATGCATGGGGATTGAGAACCACCACAAAGAATCAGCTGGTGGCATTATAGGCAGTGGGGAGGAAGACAGTGTAGAGCAGGGAAACCACTGTTAGTCAGCCCTGCCTGCTCCTGGGGCTATCTTTCCATACCATTTCTGTTATTCTCGGGCCCTTCCTTTGCTCTACCTCTGAAGTACAGGTTCCCTAATGGCTCCCAGAGTGACAACATTACAGAAAGATGCAGGAGGAGAGGAGGTTCAGGAGAAGGGCAACGGAGAATAGCCACATGTCAGGGTAATTCAGAGTTGTCGGTTTCTAAGACAGAGTTTACATGTAGCTGTAAAAACCACACATGCTCCAAGTGAGCCTTAGAGATTTTCCAATGATCAGTCTTTAGGATGGCTCAGTCTTCACTTGCCATCTCTTCTTTCTTGAGAAAATACATTACCCACACCCACTCCATGATTTTTTTTCACTGGATCTCCTTCCGGTTATAACTTCAGGAGCGAAAGCTATTGCTTAAATGGCAATGTATGAGGAGCCCTTTTCCACTTCAAAATATCTCCCAAGACTTGCCATGGAACCTAAAATCCCATCACTGTCATCACCCCAAAGAGTGTCCCTAAAATAAAATATTAAGGGTTATAAAGAAGAAGCAAATGAAACAGTTGGTTCCCTATTTGAATTCTGCAAATACAGTGTTACGTCACTCCCAGTTCCTACACTGTGACCTTCTTAAGAGTCTATTCTATTCATCTTTGGGTGCCAACTACCCAGTAGTACCAGACACCTAGCAAGTGCTCAGTGTTTTCTGAATTACAATTCATCACCTCTAGGTGTATTTATGGTGGGAATATCTTTGAAGGGAAAAACAGCTTGAAGCTCTCTATACTTCTAAGATTATAAATCACCATAAACTCTGTAACAAGGAAATTATACTAATAGAAAAGGCATATCATGCCAGACAAACAGCAGACTTGTTTAATTCATTCATTCAACAAATATCTACTGAGTGCTTAGTATGTGCTGTATCTGGGGATACAGCAGTGAACAAAATAGAACACATCCCTACTCTTGTGGGAAACAAAATAGGAAAATATAATCTCCACATGCTACATCCCAATACACTTTTCTTTTGTTTTACCAAGCCATACCCTGGAGAAATGATCTGTCTACTTCTCTTTGACACACACAAAAATCTCATGTGCAAATGAAGGACGTGGAGTTTGAACAAGTGACATCCTGGAAATTTTCTATTTAATAGACTAGGAGAGATTAGTGTCTGCCTCATATTAAAATGAAGCGAAGCTAGGTATGCATCTCATAATATTCATTCCTTATAAACTACCTAAATTCCCCCAAATGCAGACGAAAGTATACCCATTTTTAGAAGTTCCACTTATTTTCGGCCTCATATACAAACTTCTCCTTTATTCTTTCCTTCACCTTTCCCCCTCTACCTCGTGCCTTATGCTTCTCATCTATATGAGAAACAGGAGTCCCTGGGTGGTGCAAACAGTTAAGCGCTCGACTACTAGCCAAAAGGTTGGTGGTTCGAACCCACCTAGAGGCACCTTGAAAGACAGGCCTGGCCATCTGCTTCTGAAAGGTCACAGCTTTGAAAACCCTACAGAGCAGTTCTACTCTGCACACATGGGATCACCATGAGTCAGAATGAACTTGACAGCAACTAACAACAATATATGAGAAATATACCAGAAAGGCTCAAGTGAGGGTCAGGGAGCAAATACATCCTCCAAAAAAACAAGAAAAAAACAAGGGTGTGTGCCAAAGGTAGAAAACTATTTAACTATTTGCTTCAAACAATTGAGAGATCAAATGAATTCTGCACCCTGGCAGACAGTGCTCTGGGCTGGCACACTGAAGTACAGCCGACCGTAAATCTGAGCAGACTGGAAACCTCTGGATGCCGATCCCTCAGTGTTTGGTGTCAGTGGGAAAGCGAACAGTCGCCCTCATTCTGATTTACACATCTTCATCACTCGTACTGAAAGAAAAGACTTGGACAGAAAAGCTTGGCAGTAGAACGGCATGCTGCCATCTCAGCCAGGAAGTCGCAGGCATCAAGCTCACAGGCAATAAATTTCCTCACACCAGAAGAAAGAAGTCCGAGGGAGGGAGAAAAGGACAGGAAAATTAGCTATGGGTCATAAAGGCTCATTTTTCCATACCCCTTATGTGATGGTTAAGGTTGTGTGTCAACTTGGATGGGCCACGGTTCTCTGTGGTTTGGCAGTTATGTAATGATGTAGCTTGGCAGTTATGCGATGATATAGTCATCCTCCATGATGTGATCTGAATTGATCAGCGATCAATTGTAAGGAGAGTTTCCTCGGGGTGTGGCCTGCATCCAATATATATATGGACGTTCTGGCAAAGTTTGTTAGTTTGCTCTGGATCCTCCATCTGGCTGGTCATCATCTGACCTCCGGTTCTTGAGATTCATCAGCCTCCACAGCCTGTGAGCCGGCAGCCTGCCATCTTACCTGCCGATCTTGGATTTGTCAGCAACAGCAGCCCATGAGCCAGCAGCCTGCTGTCTGACCTGCTGATCTTGGATTTGTCAGCCCCTGCAGCTACATGGGAGCCCTGCAGCACAGTGGTTAAGAGCTCGGCTGCTAACCAAAAGGCCAGCAGTTCGAATCAACCAGCCACTCCTTAGAAACCCTATGGGGCAGATCTACTCTATTCTATAAGGTTGCTATGAGTTGGAATCAACTTGACGTCAACGGGCAGCTACGTGAGTCAGAAGAAATCTCCAGCCTGATGTCTGATTCACGGACTTGGTACTTGCCAGCCTCTACAACCGCACGAGCCATTTCCGTGAGATAAATCTCTTTCTCTCTCTCCTTATGTCTCTTTATATATGTGTGTGTGTGTGTGTGTGTGTGTGTGTGTGTGTGTGTGTATACACACATATACACATACATGCACTTCACTGGTTTTGCTTCTCTAGAGAATCCAGCCCAAAACACTTTATTCCTTTGCTACTTCATATGGCTACGTTGTTGTTAAGTGCCGTCAAGTCGGTTCCGACTCATAGTGACCCTACGTACAACTGAACAAAACACTGCCTACGCATGCGCCATCCTCACAATCACTGCTATGTTTCAGCCCACTGTTGCAGCCACTGTGTCAAACCATCTCAGTGAGGGTCTTCCTCTTCTGTGCTGACCTCTACCTTAACCAAGCATGATGTCCTTCTCCCAGGGACTGATCCCTCCTGACAACATGTCCAAAGTATATAAGATTAAGTCTCACCATCCTCACTTCCAAGGAGCACTCTGGCTGTACATCTTCCCTGACAAACTAGTTCGTTCTTCTGGCAGTCCATGGTATATTCAATATTCTTCACCAAAACCAAGATTCAAACGCATCAATTCTCCTTCGGTCTTTCTTATTCACCATCAAGCTTTCGCATGCATATGAGGCAACTGAACATATCATGGCTTGGGTCAGGCACACTGCAGTCCTCCAAGTGACATCCTTGCTTTTTAACACTTTAAAGGGGTCTTTTGCAGCAGATTTGCCCAATGCAATGCATTGTTTGATTTCTTGACTGCTGCTTCCATGAGTGTTGATTGTGGATCCAAGTAAATGAAATCCTTGACAACTTCAATCTTTTCTCCATTTATCACGATGTTGCTTATTGGTCCAGCTGTGAGGATTTTTGTTTTATGTTGAGAGGTAATCTGTATTGAAGGCTGTGCAGTCTTTGAACTTCATCAGTAAGTGCTTCAAGTCCTCTTCACTTTCAGCAAGCAAGGTTGTGTCATCTGCATATCGCAGGTTGTTTTTTGTTTGTTTATTGTTGTAGTTTAAGTGAAAGGTTACATTTCAAGTTAGTCTCTTACACAAAAATTTATACATACATTGTTATGTGACCCTAATTACTCTCCCTATACTGTGACAGCACACTCTTCCTTTCCACCGCTGACTTCCCATGTCCATTCAACCAGCTCCTAACCCTCTTTGCCTTCTCATCTCACCTCCAGACAGAAGCTAACCATTTAGTCTCATGTATCTACTTGAGCTAAGAAGCACACCCCTCACGAGCATCACCTTATGTCCCAGAGTCCAGCCCAATCTTTGTCTAAAGAGTTGGCCTCAGAAATTGTTTTACTTCTGGGCTGATAGAGAATCCGGGGGCCATGCTTTCCGGGGTTCCTCCAGTCTCAGTCAGACCATTAAGTCTGGTCTCTTTATGTAATTTGAGTTCTGCACCCCACCTTTCTCCTGCTCCATCAGGGACTCTCTGTTGTGTTCCCTGTCACGGTGGTCACTGGTGGTAGCCGGGCACCATCTAGTTCTTCTGGTCTCAGGCTGATGAAGTCTCTGGTTCATGTGGCCCTTTCTGTCTCTTAGGCTACTACTTTCCTTGTGTCTTTGGTGTTCTTCATTCTCCTTTAATTCAGGTGGTTGGGACCAATTGATGCATCTTAGATGGCCACTTGCATATCACAGGTTGTTAATGAGTCTTCCTCCAATCCTGATGCCCCATTCTTCTTCATACAGTCCAGCTTCTTGGATTATTTGCTCAGCATACAGATTGAATAAGTATGATGACAGAATACAACGCTGATGCACACCTTTCCTGATTTTAAACCATGCAGTACTCCCTTGTTCTGTTTGAATGACTGCTTCTTGGTCTATGTACAGGTTCTGCATGAGCACAATTAAGTGTTCTGGATTCCCGTTCTTCGCAATGTTATCCATAATTTGTTATGATCCACACAGTCGAATGCCTTTGCATAGTCAATAAAACACAGGTAAACATCTTTCTGGTATTTTTTGCTTTCAGCCAGGATTCATCTCACATCAGCAGTGATACCCCTCTTTCCACATCCTCTTCTGAATCTAGCTTGAATTTCTGGAAGTTCCCTGTTGATGCACTGCTGTAATCATTTTTTAATTACCGTTAGCAAAATTTTACTTGCGTTTGACATTAATGATATTGTTCGATAATTTCCACATTCTGTTGGATCACTTTTCTTTGGAATGAGCATAAATATGGATGTCTTCTAGTTGGCTGGCCAGGTAGCTGTCTGTCAAGCTTCTTGGCATAGACAAGTGAGCACCTCCAGCACTGCATCTGTTTGTTGAAACATCTCAAGTGGTATTCCATCAGTGCCTGCAGCCTTGTTTTTCACCAATGCCTTCAGTGCAGCTTGGACTTCGATACCATTGATTCCTAATCATACATATGCTACCTCCTAAAATGGCTGAACGTTGACCAAATCTTTTTGTTACAGTGACTCTGTGCATTCCTTCCATCTTCTTTTGATGCTTCCTACGCCATTGAATATTTTGCCCATAGAATCCTTTAAAATTGCAACTCGAAGCTTGAATTTTTTCTTAAGTTCTTTCAGCTTGAGAGATGCTGAGCATGTTCTTCCCTTTAGGTTTTATAATTCCAGGTCTTTGCACATTTCATTATGATACCATGGATGACTCTGCTGGTATTTAAAATACCAATGGCTTAGCTTCCAGCATCACAGCAACACAGAAGCCACCACAGTACAACAAACTGACAGACACATGGTGGTTTTCTTGCTGGGAGGCTGTAATACTGGGGGGAGGCCCAGCAGGGAAAGTCTCACCCCTACGGTCTGAGAGGCATGGGTGGTTGGGGAGAGGGGAGGGTGCTGAGCCACCTTCTGTGGTCCAATGTCCTGGAAACATGTTAAAAACCAAGAGACTTCTGCATTCTTCAAAAAGTCTGAAGAGGAAGCTGGTGGGTCTGAGCAGAGTAGAACTAGTGATTATTTTTAGCTGAGTACAATAGAGGATCACAGTCATGCTTGGGGTGGGAACTCTGCTCTGAAAAAGGCATTTTAATAAATACCAAGATATTTATGAGCTTTATTTATGAGAATACAGCTCTAGTTGAATGTTTTAAGCAGAGACTCTTCCTCCAGAAACACACATGACCAAATGCTGAAAGGTACATCTCCAACCTTGGTCCTCTTCATGTGATGTCACTGCATTAGGCAAACTAGGGTTTCCAACAGCAAATTTCTCTCTGTTTCTCAACTAGGTCCTTGCAGTGTACGGTCGACTTAGCTGGCTGGCTCCTATCCTTGGCTGGGCTTAAGCAAGAGTACCACATGTCTAAATATTTAACAATTATAAATCAAACCTAAAACTTCACCCTACCTTAGTTAACAAATATATCTTCAAAACAGCCTGGAAGGCCAGATTAAAATGTAGAATTCTTAGAGTCCCTGGAGCCTCATGTCAGAATGTGGCAGTATGGGAAGACCAGCCCCTTGTTCCCAGCTCCCAGTGCGCCCCTTCTCTTTCCACCCCAGGCTCCATCCCGTGTGGACGCCTCAGCCTACAAGTTCACATTCCATGCATACCCCTTTCCACCACAGCCTCCCTCTGGACACCCCCTAGGCCTAAGAATGAGTTAGAAAGATAAACCCACGGAGGCCTGACATCGAGCTCTAGACCACTTGGGCAGGAAATTCCAGGGCATGTTCTAGAACGGAGAGTGTGGGCCCAGAGATAAAACTTCCCCTTAGCTGACAGATTCCACGTCCCATGGGGAGGGGTACAGCCCTCACTAGTGCGGGTCCCAGGCAGAGGCCCTGCTTGCCTGTTCTAAGGGCAGGATGACTATTTAGTCTCCGCAACCTCTGGCCACCTCACAAATTATTTAACTTGTCTTCCCGGCAGGCACACTGGCTCAGAAGTCTCTAAACAAAATATTAGAATTAGAATTAAAATCTAGAATGATATGAGTTGTTCTTTGACAACGTAAATTATACTTTACCTGAATATATAGTTTAAATACTGCTGGTCAATGTCACTAAGGAATGAAAGGGAAAAAACAAAAAAAGATAAAGCATACAAAATAATGGAAGTGTTTTTGATACAAAAAACAGGCATTATCCTCTATTAATAAACTAAATCATGTATAAGTCATACATTTATAAATTATCAATAAAGAACACAAAGAATACTTTATATTCAAAATCAGTTCCAGGTTCATTTTTTAAAAATATTCCCTGAAGAGGTGGGGCCAAGATGGTGGAAGAGTCAGACGCTTCCGGTGGACCCTCTTACAACAAAGACCCAAAAAACAAGTGAATCAATTATATGTGACAATCTAGGAGCCCTGAACATCTAAGGCAAAGCTGAGGAACCGGACTGAGTGGCGGGGGAGGGAGAGACGGTTGGGAAGCAGTGAGGAGTTGCCAGACCTGACCTGGAGAGAGCCTGAGCCCTTCAGGCCTGATCAGCTCATAGGTGAGCGGTGAGACAGGCAAGCAGTGGTGCTTGGGAGGGGCGGTCTGCACACTGAGAGAGACCCAGAGCCAGAGACTCTACTCAGCCAGCCAGAACCAGCCCTCATCAGCAAAAGATAAGTATTTGCGTAAGGCCTCCTACGCAGATCAAAAACACCCCCCTTAGGGAATAAACTCTCTCCCATCTACCTCCCTGCTCCCTGCTCTGCACTGGGTGTGGACCAGCTTTAGCAACTGCTGAGTCCCCTGGGCCTGAAGTAGGATCCATCACATGCCCTGAGCCATTCCCCCAGCCTTGGAGAGTGAACAAATTAACAAACAAGGGAAAACATATACTGCCGGCTCCCCTAAGCCAGGAAGCCAGGGTAGGCACAGCTCCTTTGCCTTGGCACAAGCATAAGGGATCCAGGGACTTTAAGCACCTTTCCCCCTGCATAGACTTGTGTGGGCCCCTTTCAACAGCACAGGTCCTCATTACCGTAGTACAACAGGGTATATACTTGAAGACTAACTTGAACTGTTTCAGCTGTGAAGTGGCAGGTTCATAACATTTGACACTACTCTGCCCATTAAGCAGGGTTTCACCTACCCACATCAGGGGCCTGAGGACTGGTGGTTCCACCCATGCCACCTAGCCACCTATGATAGGGGCCCAAAAATAAGAGGTGCCCCATAGTCCTTACAGCCAACAGCACTGGGTGCTCACAGTCCGGCTGTAAACCCACCCACCTACACGCTTTAGGGAACAGGGACACACCTTCCTCCTGGACACTCGGGGGTGGCCGTCAGCCCCCTGCCTTGCTCAGAGTGTGTCCCCCTGCTGGAACCAGATGCCTGTGCCTACACCAATCACCCATGCCTGTCTAGGACTGTAGGTGAGAACCTACACCAAACTCTTGGTGGCTATCTACCTGGGCACCTGAGCTGAATCCATACAGGAGGAGTGGGCAGACTCCTGAGCTCACATACCTAGTAACACATCTAACCACCTGGTGACAGGACATTAGAGCTTCAAAGGTGCCAATAAATAAACTAGCTCATACAAGCAACCTATTTGGGCATATCAAAACAAAACAAGAAGCTAGGACACAGTAAAAACATAAAATAAATAAACATAATAACTTACTGATGGCTCAGAGACGAGAGTCAATATCAAATCACATAAAGAGGCAATCCATGGTGGCTTCAGCAAACTCCCAAAATTAAGAATCTACACATTTTCCAGAGGAGGAAAATTTCTTGGAATTACCAGAGGCAGAATACAAAAGATTAATATACAGAACTCTTCTAGAAATTAGGAAGGAAATTAAGCAAAACGCAGAACACACAATAGAGGAAATTGAAAAGATTAGAGAAGAGCAGAATGACAAATTTAACAGGCTGCAAGAATCTATAGAGAGACAGCAATCAGAAATCCAGAAGATTAACAATAAAATGTCAAAATTAGACAACTCAATAAAAAGTCACAGGAGCAGAACTGAGGCAATGGATGTCAGAATTAGTGAGACTGGAGAAAAAGCACTTGACACCAACTTATTTGAAGAAAAATCAGATAAAAGGATGAAAAAATGAAGAAACTCTAAGAATTATGTGGGACTCTATCAAGAGGAATAACCTACGAGTGATTGGAGTACGAGAACAGGGGGGGATAACAGAAAATACAGAGAGAATTGTTGAAGATTTGTTGACAGAAAATTTCACTGATAGTGTGAAAGATGACAAGATATCTATCCAAGATGCTCATCAAACCCCACATAAGGTAGATCCCGAAAGAAACTCACCAAGACATATTATAATCAAACTTCCCAAAACGCAAGATAGAGAATTTTAAGAGCAGCTAGGGATAAACAGAAAGTCATCTACAAAGGAGAGTGAATAAGAATAAGCTCGGACTACTCAGAGAAACCAGGCAGGCAAGAAGGCAATGGGATGACATATATAAAGCCCTGAAGGAAAACAACTGCCAGCCAAGAATTATATATCCAGCAAAACAGTCTCTCAAATATGATGGCAAAATTAGGACATTTCCAGATAAACAGAAGTTTAGGGAATGTGCAAAAACCAAACCACAATTACAAGAAATACTAAAGGGAGTCCCCCGGTTAGAAAATCAGTAACATCAGATAACAACCCAAGACTAGAATACAGAACAGAGCAACCAGACAGCAACCCAGACGCAGAAGTCACGAAAATAAATCAAAGCTAAAACACTGAAAATAGGGAAATGGATGTCAATATGTAAAAGAAGACAGCATTAAAACAAAAAAGAGGGACTTAAAAAATGTAGACATAGATTCTGCATATGGAGAGGAAGTCATGGCGATACAAAGAAATAAAAGATAGGTATGAACTTAGAAAAACAGGGGTAAATATTAAGGTAACCACAAAGAAAACTAACAACCCTACAAATCAAAATAAAAGAACTAGAAAAATATAAAGACTCAGCAAACACAAAATCAACAACAATGAAAAAGATGAAAACAAAATACATGAAGAAAAATGACTCAACACAGAAAATTAAGTGAAACACAAAAAAAGACATCAAAATGACAGCGCTAAACTCATACCTATCAATAATTACGCTGAATGTAAATGGACTAAATGCACCAATAAAGAGAAAGAGAGTGGCAGATTAGACAAAAAAACACGATCCGTCTATTTGCTGCCTAAAAGAGATATACCTTAGACCTGAAGACACAAACTAACTAAAATTCAAAGGATGGAAAACAATACATCAAGCAAACAACACACAGAAAAGAGCAAGAGTGGCAATATTAATCTCTGACAAAATAGACTTTAAAGTAAAATCCACCACAAAGGATAAAGAAGGACACTACATAATGATTAAAGTGTCAATACACCAGGAGGACATAACTATAGTAAATATTTATGCACCCAACGACAGGGCTCCAAAATACATAAAATAAACTCTAACACCACCAAAAAGAGAGATAGACAGCTCCACAATAGTAGTAGGAGACTTCAGCACACCACTTTCAGTGAAGGACAGAATATACAGAAAGAAGCTCAACAAAGACACGGAAGAGCTAAATGCTACAATCAACCAACTTGATCTCAGAGACATATACCGAACACTCCACCCCATAGCAGCCAAGTACGCTTTCTTTTCCAACGCACATAGAACATTCTCCAGAATAGACCACATACTAGGCCATAAAGCAAGCCTTAACAAAATCCAAAGCACTGAAATATTACAAAGCATCTTTTCTGACTATAAAGCCATAAAAGTAGAAATGAACAACAGAAAAAGAAAGGAAAAAAAATCAAACACATGGAAACTGAACACCTTGCTCAAAAACTACTGGGTTATAGAAGAAATTAAGGATGGAATAAAGAAATTCATAGAATCAAACAAGAATGAAAACACATCCTACCAGAACCTTTGGGACAGCAAAAGCAGTGCTCAGAGGTCCGTTTATAGCAACGCACACATCCAAAAAGAAAGGGCCATAATCAAAACATTAGCCCTACAACTGGAACAAGTAGAAAGAGAGCAGCAAAAGAAGCCCTCAGGTGCAAGAAGAAAGGAAATAATAAGAATTGGAGTAGAATTAAATGAAATAGAGAATAGAAAAACAATTGAAAAAGCTAACGAGACCAAAAGCTGGTTCTTTGAAAAGATCAACAAAATTGATAAACCACTGGCCAAACTCACGCAAGAAAAACAGGACAGGATGCAGATAACCTGTATAAGAGAAGAGATGGGAGACATCACAACAGACCCAACTGAAATTAAAAGAATCATAACAGAATACTATGAAAACCATACTCTAACAAATTTGAAA